AGAAAGATTGTAAATATATGTAATTATAAACCCTCATTCCATTCGAGGTTCAGATCTATCAATAATCATTAAAATCTTAACATCTTTAGCACTTCTTTTCAATTAAATATCATACTTCCTTAAAAACACACAATCTCCATAATTAATTTTTCCCTTATTTCTCTTCACATATGTTTTATAAATCATTAAATATACCTTTTGTTACATTTATTTATTGACAAGCATTCCACTGAATTCTAATATAACCATACTATCTTATGAACCTTTGCAGAATCCCTTTTTCCATTGTTTTTACCCATTATCTCTAAATAGGTCCTGTTTCTCTATATTTTGCTTCTGTCCTTTATAACTTCTTTTCCTTTCTTTCTTCCCTCTCATCTTCTCCCTCCCCTTTTTACCCCTTGTCTCTCTAGTTCTAATTCTCTCTTCTGCATTTCCCTCTTCTGTTGCTTTCTGATTTTATACTTATTTTTCACTCTGTTTTTTTTTGGGGAGGGGGCTTGTTTTTCCCAATCTTAAACTTTCCATTCTCTTTCCCCCCTTTCCTTCCCCCCCCCATCTAAGATTACTTGTTCATTAAAGATGGCTTCTTCTTTGTCGCAATCTTCTTGTTCTGCAGGCATTTCTTCTTGTTTCTCATAATTCAAAATCTCCATTTCTAAAAACTGAAATACGAAGCCAAAAGAACCTCTCCCTTCTTGTGCATCTTCTCTGTACTTTTTAAGTTCCATTTTCAGTTCTTCTAGAAGTAGGGCCATTTTAAAAAGTTTTAAACAACCACCCGATTGATTTTAGTCATTCAAAACAATAACCGAGAATCCAGAAATCATCAAGTAATCCAGATAGTCCTGAGTTATATCTTCTTATTTCTTTTTCGACTTTCTCTTCCTGGGGTTTTTGTTGCAATATTTCAGTTAGAATGTATCTTTTGGAAGTCTTGTTGAGATTTTGCTGTAAGTTCTTTTTTAATTCCAGGCAGTCTCCTCCCTTCCAGATCCTGCCCTTTTATTTTTCCTCTCTCCTTTCCTGTTTTCAAAAGCTTTTAATTATCCAGAAATCTTTATTATCCCTTTGACTTTTTATTTTCAGCATTAAATGCCTATTGATGTCAAAGTGGATTTTTTTCCAATTTCTTAGCTGTCAGTATAGGAAAAGGAGAAAACCAAATCGTTTCCCTTTTCTCTCTCCTTCGCAGCTTAAAAATCTTCTTAGAGAACAATGTTATTGTTTTTTAACAGTTTCAATTCCAGGGTACCTTATTTGTTGCTTTTGCTGTTTGACCCGGTCAACCAAAACTTTCTCTTCTTATCTTCCTCCTGCACATTCTTTTCTGGTCGAGTTCTTCTTTGCAGTGGCCATTTCTGACCACCGCTGCAACCGCCTTTGGGAAAGGGAGTAATGGCCAGCTGGGGAGGAGAGATGCAGCTCTCCTCAACCCTGCTGGCAGTCTCCCCCCTCTTCACCACCTCTATGGGATGGCTTAGCCCCGAAACCAGCCAGCTCGGGGTGCTTCAGCGGCAAACACAGATCGAAGCCTCGCAGAGACGAGGTTTTGGTCTGTCGCTGAAGAAGCTCAAACCAGAAGTCAAGACCCTACACTATTTCTGACAGGTGGGAGTCCAATCTCTTTTTGAAAGTCTCCAGGGATGACGTTCCCACTACTTCCAAAGGCAACTTCTATTCCATGGGTTGATTGTTCTCACAGTCAGAAAATGTCTCCTTATTTCCAGGTTGAATCTCTCCTTGTTCAGTTTCCATCCATTGTTCCTTGTCTGGCCTACAGGCGCTTTAGAAAATAGCTTGACCCCTTCCTCTCTGTGGCAGCCCCTCAAATATTGGAAGACCGCTATCATGTCTCCCCTGGTCTTTTTCTTTACTAGACTAGCCAAGCCCAGTTCCTGCAACCATTTGTTGTATGTTTTAGCCTGAAATCCCCTCATCATCCTGGTTGCTCTTCTCTGCACTCTTTCTAGAATCTCAACATCTTTTTTATAGTGTGGTGACCAAAAATGGATGCAGGACTCTAGGTGTGGTCTTACTAAGGCTTTATAGAGTGGCATTAGTACCTCACTTGTTCTTGATTCCTCTGTTAATGCAACTTTGGATAGCATTGGCTGCACACAGCTGGCTCATATTTAGATGGTTGTCTAGCCTCTTGTTCAGGTTGCCAGACTAACAATAATTGAGATAACATTCCTGATTCGTCAGTTATTCCCATATAAAGCTGAGCCCATCCTTGTATGGTTGTGCTGCTATCAAGGGTCTGACTTTCCATCTGGCAACATTTAGCCTAAATCTGCCCTCCACGCCTTCCTCGGGGCAGGTTGAGTCCTCCCCAAAATTTAATTACAGAAGAAAAGAGGAATGCGAGAGCTTCACACTTACACGAGTGACTTTGTGCGTTTCTAGCAGTGCCAGATGCCAAAGGGAGAAAGTCTGAATCCTCTAACACCCCGCAAGGAACATTCTCCAGGACTGATAAAAGTACATTGTGGAAGAGGCTATAATTGCATTGCTGGTCTCTATCCCATTCCGTTCCTAGTCACTGTAGTAACCTACTTGCCTCCAAGAATAGGCTCCAATTAATAAGCCTGAGCTTACACCCGGTGGTGGGAATCAAATTGTTTTACCACGGGTTTGGTGGGCGTGGCTTGGTGGGCGTACTTTGCCTAACGTTGGCGTGCCACTTTTCCCACACCAGCTGAGACCTGCAGCAGGAACCAATAGGAGGGCCAATCCTGTGCTTTTCTCATCCTCTCAGCTGATTGTTGGAGGATTGTAGGTGTTTGGTTTTTTTTAAACTACCAGTTCGTCTGAACCGGTCCAAACCGGCAGCATACCACCACGGCTTACATCCTTTAAGGTTGCCCATCAACAGTGTTAGACTATGGAGCAAGGCTGGCTGGGGAATTTTGGGCGTCGAAATCCAAGAGTCTTAAAGGTACCAAGGTTGGACAGCTCTGGCGTACAGAGAAGGGGTGTCAAACTCAATTTCATTGAGGGCCGCATCAGGGTTGTGTTTGACTGGGGGGGGGCTGGGGAGGGCATGGCCAACTCGACTTCACTTGGGTCGAGGGCGCCTTTCACTCTGCTAGTGAAAACAGGCTCCCAAGCTCTGTTTTCGGCTGTGACGGCCTCCTGCAACCCCCTGCCAGCAAAAAGGAGCTCAGGAGGGTCATCGCAGGTGGCCCTCCTGAGCTCCGTTTTCGCCTGCAGAGTCACCGTGGACTGGTGCTTTGCTGTTTCTAGGGTGATCTAAATACCCTGCAGGCCAGATCTGCCTTGAGTTTGACAGCCGTGACGTAGAGGCTCTATTGATGCTTGACTTAAAGGCGTGGCTTTTGTAAGTGAGATTTTTACCTTCTTTCTCCCACTTTGCATGAAACAGATAGTGGCAACTCGATCTACAAGGTGTCGGTCCAGCCTGCTGTGCTAGGAGAAGAGGCGGCTCAGTAGTTGGAGTCAGTATTGAAGCCCACAAGTCTTAAGATGGCCAATATTGGACACCCCTTGCTCTACCGTCTCCCCTCGTCTCCTCCTCACTGCAGTTTGGTTCTTTCGCTCTCTCACCCCCTCCATAGTTTAATTCTCTTTAATGAATCCCAGCTCTCAGCTACATCAAAGTGCATTCTTGTTGAGAGGCTATAAAAGGAACCACTCTGTCCCCTCACCCGCTCCCTGCTCCCAATTTTAGTGTGTCTGGAGTTGGAGGGGTGGGGAGATACCCCAAATCTCCCCTTGTTCTGGGTCTGGAGTCAGCATCTCTTCTGATGTAAGGTAATTGGGATTGACAGAACCCTCTTTTAATCCACGGTTAAGAAGCTGTCTCTCTTGCATCCTTGGCGGGAGCGAAGAGCTATTTGGGAAGCCCTTAATTGTGCCATCTGTGCTTCATTTAAAGGCCTTAGAGTGAACACCCTGTGGGAGAGGCAAGCTGTCTTGGTTAAGAAAGGATTATTTATTTATGGTGGGGTGTTGGTGGGTGAGATGACAGACTATCTAAGGGGGTCTTCTTCCATGTGGCAGTTTCCTCCCTTGCGGAAACTGAAGCTGGATTGAGAAATGGCTGAGAGGAGATTCCAGGCCATTTTCGGCTTTGGCAATGGTGTTGGCCAAGTGCCTTCTCCTGCCTCTTATTTGTGCCAAGAAAGCGAGCACCGATTACTTTTCCTTTCCTAATAGAAGAGACTATTTTTGTAGCTCTGGCTTGGACTGTGAGGTCTTTGGGGCTCTCTGAGCTGGCTTGTTTTTCTTGCAGATGCTTCATTTCCAAACTAGGTAAAGAAAGTTGGGTGGTTGTTGGGTGATGAGATGTCTACAAGAAAACAACCAAATGCGGAGAGATCAAGTTGGGTTGGTCACCGATACGAGAGATTTTTCTCTTCTGAGCTTTTGAATTTGTACCGAAGACCATTTTCTCCCTAGCGGAATATATGCTTTGGGCTATTCTGTCAGTCGTATTTATGTGATGCGTTCCTATTGTTTGATTGGCATGTTGGTGGCTGGCCATGGGCTCTTGTTTCCTTAGGCTACAAAGCCCTCGGCTCCTAAGTACTTGGTGAAGTAGAAATAAATTAGCACTTCATTGACTGTAGTGATGTTTAGCTTGGAAGAGTTAAAATTTTGGTTCCAGACAGCAACCTAGATTCAATCTTGCAGTATTATCCTGAGACATGTATATTTACTTTCATTCATGAGCACAGGGTCTTGGAGGAGACCTCATTTCCATTGAGAGGTCCGTTGTCTGAGTCCTTCCCTTAACAGTGTCCTCCTTGGACCCGGTACTTTCTCACCCATAGTCACCACAATGTTATTTTTCTTCTTCTCACTTGAACTAGAAGAAGAAATTGACAAAACTCATCAATTTCAATATTTTTTGTGAGGGGGAGATTTAGGACGCCCCTTGTTTCACAAGTGGGTTGGTGAACCTGTCAGTCAACTGATTGCTTAAGATACTTTTGTTCTTAACCATCTGCCTCTGTCCTCTTGTCTTGTCAAAGGTCACAGCAGTTTTCTCCCAGCCAGACCAATGGCGAAAGTTCCCCCGAGATGTTGGCCATACGATTTCAGGTAAGGACTCATTTCATTCCAGATTGCTAGAAGCTGATTCCTCATCCTGATAAAAACTCTTTTTATTTAGGTTGAAGTGAATTCCTCTCATTCATTTTCCAGCACAGTCCCAGCGAACAGTCTTTCAAGTGATTGCACCACTACAGACCTTTATCAGGCTGGGAGAGTTGCCAGGCCGATATCTTCCAAACGCCACTCTGTATCAGGCAATACTTGGCAAGGAGTCAGGAACAGATCTCCACCCTAATGAATTGTCTCCTGCAAGCACCACTCCCCTCTCACTCCTATTTATACCCTATAGGAGGGGGCATTCACCATCCACTGATGCGTTTCTGAGTTGACCCTTGTTCCTTAATTGTTCCCTTCTTCTGGCAGCTCTGTGCATGCGCACACTGGGAACAGGCTCCAGCTATTCTTCTGCCCCACCGATCTCCGACTCCGAAGGCAGCTGATAACTGTCGGGCGGCCCTGGCCCCATCTCTGCCTCCGACGCAGAGCCCTCATCAGAGCCTTCCCCAGGCCCATGTTCCTCCCCAACCTCCTCGCTATCTGAGTCTACCGCCAGCTCTGCTGGCCACTGGCAGGCCACAGCAGATGGGGCTGACGAGAATCAATCCAACTTCATTAAGAGGGCCACAAATTACACTGCTTCTCACACCAATTTTGTTTTGCCTGTGTGTGGAGGAGGAGCTACAACCGGTATACTGCCCTGGGTTAATAATCATATCACTGGTCCTTTTGGCACCATGACTTTTCTTCAAAAGTTAATATGTGGGAAGAAGCCAGCCAAGGTGGGGCTCCTTTCATTGTTAGGGAAGAAGAATGATCTTAGTCATCCAATTTGGGATGCTATAAAAGAACAACTAGTGTTAATTTGGGCCACAGTAGTTGATGTCTGTTTGATTTTCTTTATGCAGCCTATTCTTCTGAACTTGTTTTTCTTTTTTAATTACGTTTGCCTTTCCCAACAGGATGTGGTGAGAACTAAAGACAACGGTCAGAATTCAGTGAGATCTTCCTACTCAAGCCCGGCGTCCGTTAGTCCACGGCCCACCAGCCCCTACAGTCCTTCATCTCCTGGGTACCGACCTGGCAGCCCGTACAGCCCAGTGAGACCCAGTCTGCCCACCGAGATCAGAGGGGAGCCTGTGATAAACAGCCGCAGGTAGACAACACTTTTAATATAGTTTAGTTTATTGTTATTGCACCTTGTACAACGAAATTAAATGCCACCTTCAGTGTACATTAGGACTATGAAAATAAACACAAACACTCATCCTTCGCATTCTATACAGTTGAATTGAAAACCTCTGACATTGCATTCATATTGCACTATACAGTAGAATTCAATAGAGTTACTGCCCTGAAGGGACTGAATCGGATCAAAAGTCCGTTGAGTCTGCTCATACAAATGTCAAAAGAAAGATGTAGAGAACAACATCCTTGGCAATCATCCACCCAAAGCTAGTAGGGTGAAAAATGCACCTTCTTAGATCAGGAGGAACTTGGGTGCAATTATGTTGTCTGACAGCACACTTCGTTGCAATGAATTCTTTACATTGAAGGTGCATTCGTGAAGAATTGTAGTATAGTTTTGAACAGGTTGGCCTAGAAATGAGCAGACCTGTGTTCAAATAGACCAGGGGTCCTCAAACTTGGCAACTTTAAGACTTGTGGACTTCCAACAACCAAGCATAGCTGGTTGAGGAATTCTGGGAGTTGAAGTCCACAAATCTTAAAGTTGCCTCATTTGGAGACCTCTGAAATAGACAGTGGTGCTCACTAAGAGATACTGGGCCAGCCATATCTTCCATATCTAACATATTTTACAGAATTGGTTGAGTGGGGAAGGAAAGATGACCACCCCTGCATCTAAAAAAAGGTCTTTGTCAATTTTCAGAAGAAAAGGCAGGATGTAAATGCATTAAAAATAATATGTTTGTTTAATTGGGGAATCAGTGTTAATGGAGGGCTTCCAGAAATAATAGTAAATGAAGTATACATAATATGATTAGAATTATTAACATTCTCTTATGTTTAAAGTGTTGCTTAAAGCAAGGGTCTCCAACCTTGGCAACTTTAAGACTAGCGGACTTCAACTCCCAGAGTTCCTCAGCCAGCTTTGCTCTGGGAGTTGAAGTCCGCTAGTCTTAAAGTTGCTAAGGTTGAAGATCCCTGGCTTAAAGTACTGAGAAGAACGAGAATTTATTTTTTTAAAATAATTGCCCTTGAGAATTACAGGCATAAAATTATTTGTATCTTTTCATCCAAAGTTGATATAAGATTAAGAAAAAAAAGAACCATTACAATTCGCACCGAAGTACATATTAGTTACAAGTTTCAGTCTTGAACTCATTATTTAGTGTTAAGATTTCTTTTGTTACTTAATGTGTATACTTACACTCAACTTACACTACAATTGGGACTGGAATTCTGTCATAAGCTAGTGCAGTCATAAAGCCATCGTGAGTCAACGTAGCTGGCTGGGGAACTCTGAACCTGAAGTCCACACATCTTAAAATGACTAAAGTTGAGAAACACTACTCTAAGCTTATACTTCTTCCCATTTCTTACCCATAATAAGCAAATCTGTTTTCCGTGTTTCTTTGCTCTTTCCTTCAGCTTCCAGTCAATGGAGACTTCTCTTCAGAGTCAGCAGGAGTCAAGCAACAGACAGGTAAAAAAAAAAAAAAAGTGTGAGCTCAAACTCTTTTTGGGATCTTTTTGGAATCTTGAGACAATATATGAGTACAGCTGCTCTGAGCACTTTGTTCTGGAAAAGAGCATATTTATGACACAGGTGATTTATAGGAAACAGTTTGACTGTGGGGAAAAAACCAGAAGGCGCATGGAAAGAAAAGGTTAGAGGGAGAGTTTGCAAGAACTGCAGTTAAACCCACATTCTTGGCTGAATTTTCTGCTTCTTTAATAGCCTTAGCAGCAGGAGCCATTATAATTGGAGCCATATACCCATAGAAGCATAGTCAGCTAATATTTTTTTAAGTAAATTTTATTGAATAAACATTAAAAAACAATTGAACACAATGCGACTTTCTTGGCTATCATTTTGGCCATACAAGCTATAGTGTAGAGATACACATAACAGTTAATTTCCTTTTTCCCTTATGTTATTAGTGTAGTGCTAGCTGTATATTATTTCTATTTACATTTATATACAATTATATACATATTTACAACCATCTTTTATGCTCATGCATTCGTATCATCTCGTATTTGTCCATTATATTCCATTCTCTTTGGTTTACCAAACTTTAACTTTCATTCCTTTAGAGCGTCAACCCTTTATTTCTTTTTCCTTGACTTTAGCCATTGGTACATTTTACTCCAGACTTCATAATACTCCGTCTCACCCTTATCTTTGATTTCTAAAGTTAGTCTGTCTATCTCTGCACAGACTAATATTTTCCTTATTATTTCACTTTCTATAAGGGTATCTTCATTCTTCCAGTTTTGGTCATACACCAATCTCACAGCTGTTATTATATGTATCATTAAATATATTGTTCCTTTACTGTATTTCTCTCTAATAATTCCCAGTAATAATGTTTCTGGTCTGAACTCTACTTTCTGGCTAACCAAAACTTTCTTCTATCCAAACCTTTATTTTTCACCAGTATTTTTTTTTTTTTTTTGCTTTTATACATTTCCACCACATATGATAATAGGTTCCTATCTCTATGTTACATTTCCAACAATGTGGCGACATACTTTTACTATTTTTGGCCAATCTAGTTGGAGGAAAATGCCATCTGTAAAACATGTTATATTGGTTCTCTTTATACAAAGTTGCCAGTGTTAATTTTCTATTTCTTTCCCATAACTTTTGCCAATTGTCTAACTCATAATCGAAATTTTGAGCCCATTTTATCATTACTTCTTTCATAGTCAGCTAATATTTGTGTAACGTGATCAAAGCGGTTGGGGGAAAAAACTATTTGTACTTAACAGTGATTCGGCCTGCTATTCTCTTTCCCTTTTTATAGAACTTGTATTATCAACTCTTAAGCTGATGGCTCATTCGTCTCCCTTGCTCTCAGCTAACCGAGGGACTTCTGTAGCCTTTGTTGGCCCTTCAGGCTTATGTCTCAGCTGTTGATCTTGTTGCTTTGAACTGGCTGCTCCCTTGCACATGTCTCTGCAGCCCACAGCACACCTGGCTGGCTGGGGATGTTTGCTTTTACCTGTCTGATGTCTCCAAGCAACCAATGGGATCCTGAGAGGCCAAACCAGTTTAGGGAGATGCTGCTTGCATCTTTTACACAAGGGGCAGGGTGTAAAATCCTTCCTCCCGAGGCCTATTAAAATATATTTTGAAGTAAATCTGTGATTGCCTCAGCCAAAGAGATCTACCTGTTCAGGTACGTCATGAGGGAACCCCTGGTGGACAGCATCTCATGATGCTTAGAGTTGCAACTAGAATCTAGACAACTTGAAGTTTAAGTAGCTAAGCTTTTTAATCATATTAGTGACTACCTGAGAAGGTCTTGGCTCTCAAAGAATTGTAATCAGGTTATACTTCTTCTCCACCTCCTCCACTCTTTTATTTACAAGTAGTTGTAAGTAGAACACCAACAATGTTTTGTTGTCTTCTAGGCCGGGGTCCTTTGCGCTCAGGTTTACAATTCTCAGAGCCTTCTGAAAAATTCAATGGCCGTATTCTATACCAGGGGTCTCCAACCTTGGCCACTTTAAGACTTGTGGACCTCAACTCCCAGAATTCCTCCTCCAGTCATGGAATTCTGGGAGTTGAAGTCCACAAGTCTTAAAGTGGCCAAGTTTGGGAGACCTCTGCTCTATACAATAGTTTATACCATCCTAAAATAGCCTTTGCACACTTCCAAATTGAAGGCAACCTACCCATCCCTACCAAACATCTTGGAAAATAAATGGAAAATATTGGTTCTTCTGCCCACATATATGATCCTGGCCCCACTCATCTTGTGTTGCTTTCTTGCTCACTAGTTGTTGTTTTTTTAATGCCATCAGAAATATTAAGTATTGTCTTTGATTGGCCAAAGGTTGCCCATTCCTGCATCCTGCTGTTTTTGCTTGAATGTATTTCTCAATCACTTACTACTTTTTTTTAAAAAAAATGTGCTTCTCTTCCTTATTCAGCCAGAAGCAATATTCATTTTTTTTTAATGGGGATGGGATGGGATTTGAAGCATATTGATGTAGATACGGGCAGGATGTCCATGGCTGTACTAATCAATAGAATTAAACACGAGAGAACTTCTATAGAAAATCAAGTTATCTCTATGGGAATTGCTAACCTCCCCTACGTGAAACAGAACGGAAGGACAAGAGTTGGAAGGGACCTTGGAGGTCTTCTAGTCCAACCCCCTGTTCAAGCAGGAGACCTTATGACAAAGTGGCTCTCCAGTCTCTTCTTAAAAGCCGCCAGTGATGGAGTACCCACAATTTCTGGAGACAAGAAATTACACTGGCTAACGGTTCCCACCATTAGGAAATGTTTCTTTAGTTCCACGCTAATTCTCTCCTTGTTTAGTTTCCATCCATCGCTTCTTGTTTTGCCTTCGGGTGCTTTGGAAAATAGACTTGACACCCTCTTCTTTGTGGCACACAAATATTGGAACACCGTTCTCATGTCACCCCTGGTCCTTCTTTCACCATCGAGCTTTAAAAATGTATATCTATTTATTTCTTGAAAATCAGAATCGCTTTGATGGTTAGGCTCCCTGTAGTATTTTCCCATGAGAAAACTTTCAAGCACTCTTAATCCCTCCCCCCACCTTCTTATGTTTGATGAAGATCAGTTCCAGCCTCCACTGGGGGGGCGGGGGGTGAGGAGACACAAAAGGGTCAACACAATTGAAGATTGTGTAACTCTGAAATGAAGCCTTCAGATTTAAATCCACTGAGACAAATCTGCTTCCCTCATGCAATTTCCGTGGCTGCGATGTTATTGCATTCGTTTATTCAAATCAGTAGTTCAGTTAAACCCATAAATCAGTTGCTTACATCCTCAAGGCTTTAAGCAGATGTCAGAACCAAAAGATATTGCCCTGCCCTGTGAAACTATAATCTAACAAAAATATTCAACTCAACATTTTTCTCCACCCTTAGTCAATGTAATCCTGAGCCCTGAAGGACACATCAAACTGGTTGGACTTAATGCTTTTGTACATTGTTCAGTCTAGATTTGGCAAGTCTCTAGCTCTCAAGAATTTTCATCCTGCAATGTTTTTTTCTTTCTTTCTCTCTCTCTCTCTCTCTCTCTCTCTTTTTTGTTTTTGCCAGAACATGTTCAGAACATCATTTAGGGCAGGGGTCTCCAACCTTGGCAACTTTATGACTTGTAGACTTCACCTCAGAGGCTGGCTGAGGAATTCTGGGTGTTGAAGTCCAACAAGTCTTCAAGCTGCCAAGGTTGGAGACCCTCCTGATTTAGGGGACAATATTTAAATGAGAATGCCGGTGGATGTGGCGTTACGGCTGCAGGACTGAGCTTTGAAGCTCCATTTTGAATCTTAACGTGGTTGTGAACTCACTTTGGTGGCCTTAGGCAAGTTCTCAGGTTTGGTCTTTCACCTGTGTTAAGGGTGAAGAGACGTCATAAAATGTCTTTTTGTGACAATATGAGTTAATGAACCTGGGACTCTCCGAACCACTGAAAGCACTCGTTTGTTGTTGACTTGTCGTTATTATTATCATTAGGATTATTTCCACGACACAGATGCAAGGCCTTGGCTGCATTTTCTCCTCGCCGGTTGTATTGAAGGCTTCCCAGGGTGATCTTCTGGAATGCTTCTGCCCTGCTAAGGAACTTTTTCGGTCCGTCCTCCTATGGTCTTTGAGGTCTTGTCTCCATGCCGGTGTGTGTCCTGGCATTCCCCTCTGCTGTTGCTCTTGGGTTGGAATTCTTGTTTGTTTCCTTGCTTTGGCTGCACAGGCTGGCCTGTCTGTGTTTTTGATAGATTCCTTGGGCTGTTTTTCAAGCCCAAATGTTTGGGAGGAGAGGTTGGCTCAAAACATACCGCTTGCCAACTGGCATCTTCGTCATCCCAGCCTCTACAAGGTCTCGCTTTCTCCTCATCGTTTTCTTTCCCTTCTAATATTTATTTGCTTTAGTTCTTGGCTTGGCTTCGGTCGACCTCCTCTAACCCAGCGGTTGCCTTGTGCTGAGGGCTCAGATTTGAAAGTTGGAGGCTGATGAGCTGATGTTTGGGCCTGGCTGGGTCTCCTTTATCTTACTTCCCCCAGAAAATTCCTTAATAGGGCAGCTTCCCAGAAAGGGAGACCACAGGAATTAATGTTACTTCTAGAACGTTCTGTTCAGCTTGGGTTCCAGAACAAGAAAGGAAGCTATTTTAGATTGCTATAGATGTCCTTTTCCTCCCCCTCGTAATCGATTATCTATCTATCTATCATCTATCATCTATCTTTATCTATCATCTATCTTTATCTGTCTGTCTGTCTGTCTATCTATCTATCTATCTATCTATCTATCTATCTATCTATCTATCTATCATCTATCATCTCTCTCTCTCTCTCTCTCTCTGTGTCTGTCTGTGTGTCTGTCTGTGTGTGTGTGTGTGTGTGTGTGTGTGTGTGTGTGTGTGTGTGTGAAATACCACTCAGCATCATCACAGAACCGTAAGGCCTACAAACTTGACATTTGGCATGTAGGTTCCT